GTCAAAACCTGAGACGTGCTGCAAGCTAGGCCTCTTACCCCAAACAGCGAAGTCGTGAATACAAAGGAAAAGTTCTTGAAAGAAATTAAAAGTGCTATTCCATTGAACACACGAATGATAAGACAGTGAAACAGCCTTATTGCTGACATCAAGAAGGCTTTAGTGGTCTAGATAGAAGAGCAAACCAGCCACAATACTCCCTTAAGCCAAAACCTAATCCTTAACTCTCTTCAATTATGCGAAGTCTGAGAGAGGTTAGGAAGCTGCAGAAGAAAAGCTGGAGGCTAGCAGAGCTTGGTTCATGAGGTGTAAAGAAAAAAGCCAGCTCTATAAAAGTGCAAAGTGAAACAGCAAGTGCTGATGTAGAAGCTGTAGCAAGTCATCCAGAAAATCTAGTGAAGATCACCGATGAAGGTGGCTACACTAAACAATAGATTTTTAATGTAGATGAAAGCCTACTACTGGAAGAAGATGCCATCTAGGACATCCACAGCTAAAGAGAAGTAGTCAATGTCTGGTTTCAAGTTTCAAAAGACAGCCTGACTCTCTTGTTAGGAGTGAAAGTAGCTGGGGACTTTAAGCAGAAGCCAATGCTTATTTCCCATTCTGAAAACCCTAGGGCCCTTAAGAATTATACTAAATCTACTCTTCCAGTGTTCCAGTAATGGGTCGACAAAGCCTGGATGACAGCACATCTGCTTATTGCATGTTTTACTGAATATTTTAAGCCCACTGTTGAGACCTACTTCTCAGGGGGAAAAAAAATTCTTTTCAAAATTATTGCTCATTGACAATGCACCTGGTCGCCTAAGAGCTCTGGTAAAGATGTACAAAGAGATTAATGTTGTTTTCCTGCCTGCTAACAAAGCACCCATTCTACAGCCCTTAGATCAAGGAGTAATTTTGACTTTCAAGTCTTGCTATTTAAGCAATACATTTTGTAAGATTATGGGTACTCCAGGAATTGATTCCTCTGATGGGCCTGAGCAAAGGGAATTGAAAAATTTTTTGAAAGGATGCACAATTCTAGATGCCATTAAGAATATTTATGATTGGCCGGGCGCGGTGGCTCAAGCCTGTAATCCCAGCACTTTGGGAGGCCGAGACAGGTGGATCATGAGGTCGAGAGATCAAGACCATCCTGGTCAACATGGTGAAACCCCGTCTCTACTAAAAATACAAAAAAATTAGCTGGGCATGGTGGCACGTGCCTGTAATCCCAGCTACTCAGGAGGCTGAGGCAGGAGAATTGCCTGAACCCAGGAGGCGGAGGTTGCAGTGAACCAAGATCGTGCCATTGCACTCCAGCCTGGGTAACAAGAGCAAAACTCCATCTCAAAAAAAATAAAAATAAAAATATGTATGATTAATGGGAGGAGGTCAAAATATTCTTATTAACAGGAGTCTGGAAGAAGTTGATTCCAATCCTTCTGGATGACATTGAGGGTTCAAGACTTCAGTGGAGGAAGTCCCTGCAGATGTGGTGGAAACAGCAAGAGAACTGGAAGTGGAACCTGATTCAGTCAGGAATGACTGAATTGTTGCAATCCCATGATAAAACTTAAACAGATGATTAAATTATGGATGAGCAAAGAAAGTGGTTTCTTGAGATGGAATCTACTCCTACTAAAGTTTCTGTGAACATTATTGAAAAGACAATAAAGGATTTAGAATATTATATACACTTAGTAGATAAAACAGCAGCAGAGTTTGAGAAAATTGACTCCAATTTATAAAGAAGTTCTACTGTGGGTTAAATGCTATCAAACAGCATGACATACTACAGAGAAATCTTTCTGGAAAACAACAGTCAATTGGTGTGACAAACTTCATTGTTGTCTTATTTTAAGAAATTTCAAAATTTTAAGAAATTGTCACAGCCTCCCCAACCTTCAGCAACCACCACCATAAACAATTTGTGTGACTCCATTTATTGTAATATTTGCTTTATTATGGTGGTCTGGAACTGAAGCCTACAATATCTCTGAGGTATGCCTGTAATTCCACCTACAATGACCCTATTTCCAAATAAAGCAACCTCTGAGTTACTGGGGGTTTGAAGTTTAACATTTCTTTTGCAGGAGAAGGAAACAATTCAATTCACAGCACCATGTCTCTCAACAGTTTTTACTCTGGCCCCTGGGTTGAGCACCTGCCTCCTGAGGACAAGGATAGTCAGCAAACATCCAGAGTGCAGAAGATTAGCTCTGGCACTAGGAATCTCAGCAAAAGATTGGGGGTGGTACCCAGCACCTGATCTCAAAATCTTATCCCTCCATGATGCACTGGGGGAGGAGAGTCTTTCCCAAGACCCAGCAAGGTGTGCAATGCTACAAACGCCTCTGCTGCATTTTTTATCTGGGTTGGTACTTGTCTAAGTGAGAGAGAGAGAGAGAGTGGGTGTTTGTGTGTGTGTGTAAAGAGAGAGAATCAGTGTGCCTTTGTGTTTGTATATGTGACTGTGTGTGGATGTACACATGCCTCGGACCATGTGCCTGTATGCAACTGTGCGATAACTCTGTGTATTTACATCTGTGAGTATATGTGTCTGTGAATATGTGATGGAATCTCCAATTATAGATACAGGTTTGTGCAGGCACATGTATGTCTCTTAGTATTTATACACATGTTTATAGTACAGGCACAGAATCTGTTGAAACACTCAATGCTATATTGAGCAAATTGACAAAAGAACAGGTATGGATTGTCTGGGACTGTCAGCCCCAAAGAGAAGCTTCATCTTTCTAGAATCCACTGGTGTTGACGCTCACTTCTCATTGAAAAGACAGCAACCCCAATGGCCTTGCCCTTACCCAGAAGCTGAAAAGAGAACTGCAGGACTTCTACAAAAGGTCAGATCTTCTAAACTCACAGCCCCCACAATCACTTGGAACAATCCGTAGCAAATTCCTGTAGCAGGAAAAATAAGTCATAGATAAATCAGGCAGATGTGTCCAACTTCCCAAGATAATCCAGAAACTCCCTCATTAAATCTGGCTCACAGGAAAAGGAAAGAGAAGAATGACTGTCCTATATTCATCAAAGCACACATGAAACAAAAAGATAATGTATAAGAAGGTACTTGAGAGAGGTGAAAGTACTACACAGAAGCGGAATATTGTTTGAAGGCTGAACACCCCACCTTTAGTAAGAGTGGTGTGCTGAAGCTACTGTGAAAAAGAAGATGACATCCTGGGACCTCTCCCTATAGCACCAGCCAGAGTGTGGAGGCCAGGTGGCCTGGGTGGCCTCGGCCAGCACCCCTAGCCTTCTCACCGGTTTCATAGCGACCTCCTCCTATCAGCTCTTAGCCATAGAGTAAGAGCCACAGTGTGCTCTACAGCTTTGCTCTAAACATTTTCAACCCATGGACTCAATAGGGAGGTCACGGTCATGATGAAAGAAGGACAAGGTTGTCAACTCCAGAAGAATGGTAACGACATTTTGAGTGGCTACATAGCAGGCACTGGTCACAAAACTCATTTGATCGTCACATCAACTTACAAGGTTGAATGATTGTCATTCCCCTTTCACAGATGAGAAAACAGACACAGAGCGATCGGGTAACTAACTCAGGGTCCACAGCGAGTAAGTTTCAAGGAAAGCACTTCCACAGAGGTTAGTTACGTGGCAAGTCTTCCTTAATTTTCTTGAAGACTAGACCAGGTTACCATCCTTCTTTCCTGTCAGCTATTAGATAGCTAGTGCTAACTAAGTCTCTGCTCTACAGAAAATGTTCAACTCTGCGTCACACCTGTGCATTTGAGTAGGGTCAGACACAAGACTAAGTCATCCCACCTCTCCAAACCACCAATATCACAGCTATGGAATTTAAACACAAGCAATGTCCTTCGAGGCAGTGGCGGTAGGAAATTCCACAGGCATTTTTTTAATCATCAGTTTAATGATACCCCACACATCGTCGACCCTTTCTGGCCTAGCTTTCTCTATCTGAGATTTGAGGAGTTTTGAGGAGTTTTGAGTAGGCTAAGCTCTAGCATTCTGTTATACACCAGAAAGGTGTGTCATGAAAAACGAGACTCCCCCAGGAGGGACCCAGGACTTGCACGGAGCTTTGTAAACAAAAAAGCATTAGACAGTCATCAGGCATTATGATTGTTTTATGATTTTAAAGCCTAGGCAGGAAGCACTTACAAATGTTAACAGGAGCAGCATCAAAGCCCTGGCCACATAAATCTTACAGGAGTGTTTAGTAAAAAAGAACGCTATTTTTGGAGGGCAGTAAGGGAACAGCCCAGGTTTGCCAGCTCCTAGTGCACTGCATCCCAAATATTGCAGGCATCGCAGAGGACCAGGCAGGCCTGTCCTCAGTATTAAGTGTTTCCCAGTATTAAATATGTCCCTCTCTTTCTCCTCCTTTCTGCGTTTCTCACCACCTCCAGCCCCAACAGCCCCATCGGTTCAGGCTGCATTTTTCAGTCTAGACCCATGAGCCCTGATCACAAAATTGTGGCGATAAGGACAGATGTGAGGACTCCAGCATTGCCAGGGAGGGAAAACTAAGGTCTTGTCGGCATCCTTCCCAAACTGCCATTCCTTTCAATACTATGAACTCTGCTGAAAAAAATAAATGAATGCAAGAAGCAGCCCTGTCCAAAAGAAGGAGATTGATGAGCCTGGCGCCAGCAGAGGCTCTCTTCCTCCTTCCGGAGATTCATCAAGATTCCCGAGCTGGGCCCCAGAACGCCCAGAGCTGAGCCCAGGCTTGGAGGCGCTGCAGCCCTTCCCAGACTCCAGTTTCCCGCTTCCCGCCCCTTCCTGTCTGCTCCTCCCTCCCAGAGCCCTTAGCTCCTCCTAGATGTTGTTTACAAGGCGCTTCCCAGCTCTCTAAATTAAGCCCCGTAAGGTCTGCCACTCTTGGAGGCCATGTGTTGAGCCCCATGAGCCGAGTTGTGGCATTTATTAGCGCAAGAGGAAAAGTGCTTGTCTCATCAGAGAGCTGCTGGAGGCAGCGAGCTTTTCAAAGGCGTGTAACTGACCTCTAGCGCAGCTGCAGGATGCCTGGGGATTGCAGACTCAGATGATTCTCATCCTCTCTCTCCCTCTCCCTGTCTTTCTCCCTCTCTCTTTCTCCCTGTCTCCACCTACCTCCTCCTGCCAGCCTCCACCCTCCACCCACTCCTTTCAGTAGTGTCCTGACCTTGCAAGGCCTGAATCCCCCCCATCCATCTCCCTACATTGTGTCTCTCCGGTGAACTCATGCTGGGAGATTAATTGCTGCTATCACCCCTAATCCATCACACTTCCCAAAGATTGTTTTGACATCTAGTTAATTTTTGGCTGATGATTTATCAAATTCTTATTACTGTGCTCTGAAGGGGCTCATTTATTGTGTTGATTCATGGTAATGATAAAAGGGAAGCATTTTGAATTTTAACTACATTTCCCTCATGCTGCTTCTACCACGGTAGTAAAAAAAGGGAAGGGGGGGCGGGGAGGGGACTGTAGCCAGGAAACTCTTAAACAATTCAGAATGTGGAAGGAGAGGGAGAGGGGAAAAAAATTCTTCCATTATGTTAAGGCTGATAAAGGTTACACACACACACACACACACACACACACACACACACACACAAGTATTTTTAGCATCTGGGTCTGAACTACATTTGGAAAGCTCATACCCGTAAGGCTCTTAAACATTGATTGCCCTGTAATATTACCTAAATGTCTACTACCACTTTATTCAAATAGAACTTAATGGTAAATGACTTCAGTCATGTACCAGTGGAGACGTAAAATGACTATCTCTGCCAGGCCAGATGGCCATCCCACCTTTTAAAAGTGCAGAGAGACTTTCCCTCACTGCTTCGGCTCCTCTCCAGATCTTCCAAGTTTCTCATTTGCCACTCAGCTTTTTTAAATAAACCAGATGGTGAAAAGGAGCCCAAGGCCAATGTCCACCCTTTTTGCCAAGACTGAGGGAAGCTGATGTCTCAAGGACTGAGCTCAGAGGAGACTTGGGAGCCCCAGGGAAAAGGCACAGTCCCGCAGGGCTGGCTGCAGGGGGTGCCCTTAGCCCAGGCAGAAGGGCCAGGAAACGCCCTGCACCACCAGGGACAAACTCTAGACCATGCAGATCCACAAAGATAAAGAATTCTGATGAAAAGGAGAGAATGTGAGGGAATAAAAGACTATCATAAGTCTTTCCATCAGGAATCTCCAACAGAAAGCTTCCAGCAGAAAGATTCCGTATAAGAGCTTTCATATTCCATATATGACTATATGAGCTTCCATATATAGACAAGCTTTCTGGAGATAGAACAGACCCATTTTTGGTTGTCCTTAGCACAAGAATGTATCAGGGAAGTGTCCATCCCATCTCTCCACCTTCCTTTCAATACCTGGCCCAGGTTTCACATCCCCGCCCACTGCCCCTCCACTACCCAGCCTTCCCCCTTTCTTTCTGTCTCACTAGGCACAGGGCATGATTGGAGAAAGTCAGGATTACCCCCAAATCTTTCATGCATCAATAGGTGTTACAGACCTGTGCAGAGAAATGCCAGAGTTCCACAGTGCCATGACTTGGTGTTTAAGGTCGTGTGGAGGGAAGAAAGGATCAAGTTCCCTCCCTGAACCTTTAGGAATAAATTGGGAAGCTTTCCTATTTTCCATTTTTTGAAAAATTATATAAATGATCTGTGTCTTCAACATAATGAAATTAGCATATAAAATAATCAAGGCCTAGAAATATATTTAGTTATAGATCTCATATGTGTGTGTGTGTGTGTATGTGTTTACATATATATACACACTGGGGGAAAGCAGTCATTGAAATTATTTTAGTTTTAACATAGTTATCAATTTTGTCAGATTTTAATTTACATTTTGCCAATTTAGATACTGTTTTCTAAACATGTTCTATTTTGCCTCTGTTTACTAAAATATTGACTTATACTTGCTTAAGCTTTTAACATCTAAAAACACCTAGGGTACCTATAGATCAGGCTTGTTTGAATTTATATTGCACATTTTGCATCTTTTTAATCTTGATCAGTCCTGCTAGAGATTTGCCCACTTCGCTGACCATTTCCACTCTGAATAAGGTCACCATCATTCAACTAGCTACCCAGGCTAAAGTCCTGAGCACCAAACTGGCTGAATCTCATGACTTACATCCAATCCATCTACAAACCATTTAGGGTGTATCCAGCATTTGGTGACTCCTTAGCACTTCCCTCTTAACCACCCAGAGCCATCCCCCTCTAACCTATGTGCCCCCGTACCTCCTGTTTCCTCCCCCAGCCAAGAGCACTGGCCACCCATCCTTCCTCTCACCAACGCTAGCCTCTTTTCACTATGTCTGACATGAAGCAGGTCTCACCTGGGCACATATTATCTCCACTTCTGCTCTTTCCCTAGGACAGCTCACCTGGCTAGTTATCTCCTCTGTGCTACCCACTGTCACCCCCAACTCACTCCCCCACTGCAGAACCTTCTCTCATCAGCATTAAAGAAAGGCAAGTTTAATGCAGCCTGCAAAGAAAAATACCCCTTGGTTCTTGTAGCTTCCACTCTCTCTGACTCTACCCCATTTTCAAAAGAGGCCAAGATTCTCAAAGAGGCATCTCACTCCCTGTCTCCACTGCCTCACCTTCATCTTACTCCTTAATGCACCATGGGCATGATTGCACCCCACTACTCCATCTCTTGCCCAAATCCCAATGTCTTCTTACTGCTGTACTTCTCAAGCTTGATTTTCCTGACTCTTGGCAGCATCTGACACGATCCACCCCAGCCTTTTTCCTGAAATGTACTACCCCTCAACCTCACCCCTTTCTCCAGCAGTCAAGGATGGTGTCTTTTAGGATTTTGTTACTCGCACCCCATGTTAGTTCTTGGATATCTTCTCTCTTGGATTCTATGACTCTGCTCACGGTTTTCTCTTACCTCTCTGACTTCTAAATAGTCTTCTCTTTCTCAGTCCATACCTTCAATGACAACCCTTAAATATGATTTTTCCCAGTGGTCTGGGCTCAGTCCCCTTCTTTGCAAAATCTTCCTGGTTGGTCCTGTCCTGGCTCCAATAGCTACCTATAGGTTGCTATCTTCCAGATACAGATGTTGTGATTAAACTTAACAGTTAATATTCTTTCTATGAATTGAGGAAAATATTACATCACCTTATTAATTCAAGTTATCTTTTATATGTTTGCATAAACGTGTAACATTTTCTTCATGTAGATCTTGCCTATTTTCTGTTTGATTTTTTCCCCAGAAATTAAATGAAATTACTATTCACATATATTCTTTTCTTTTCTTTTAAGACAGAGTCTCATTCTGTTGCCCAGGCTGAAGTGCAGTGCTGCAGTCTCTGCTCATTACAAGTTCCTCAACCCAAGTATAAGGAATTGTTGTGTCTCAGCCTCCGGAGTAGCTGGGACTACAGGTGTGTGCCACTGCTTTTGGCCAATTTTTGTCTTTTTAGTAGAGACAGGGTTTCACTATATTAGTCAGGCTGGTTTCAAACTCCTGACCTCAAGTGATTTTCCCACTCTGGCCTTCCAAAGTGTTGGAATTACAAGTGTGAGCTACCACGCCCAGCCTATTCACGTATTTTCTAATAGGTTGTTTTTAGTGTAGATGGAAGCTATGAATGTTTGTATATTTACTCTGGAGCTAGCCACCTCATTAAGCACTCTTCAATGCTAACAGATTTGCAGATTCTTCTTATACATTTTCCATGTTATTAAGAATATAATCTATAAGTCACAGCAACTGTTTTCTTCCCCTTTCCCATATTTAAGCCTCATATTTTCTTGTGCTATTTCTGGGACTCTCAGATACTATTAAATGATAATGCTGGTAGCCAGTATGTTTAATTTTTCCTAGATTTTAATGGGACTGTCTCTAGTGTTTCATTATTTAAATATAATTATGGCTTTTTATTTAATATGCATATCATTCATGGTGTTAAAGTATCTTTATACTTCAAGTTTAGTAAGAATTGTGTTTGTAATTAATCAGGGATAGAAATTACACAAATTCTTTTGGAGCATCTATCAAGATAATATAATTTTGCTTGGCTATTTGTTCTGGTGAATTTTATTTAAAACAGCTTAATGTAAAGCATCTTTGCATCTCTGGAACAATCCTTTCTTGGTCATGTATAATCATTCTTAATATTGTGTTAGATACAATATGATAATATTTTATTAAAAATATTTGCACTTACATTCAAAAGTGAGATTGACCTGTAGCTTTTATATCTAAAGTATTAATTGTCATGTCATGTTTTGGGTACAACATTTTGACAGCTAGTCAGTTGGAAAGATTTCCATCTTTTCCTATGCTCTGGAGTGGATTAAAGAGTATAGGAAGTATTGTCTCCTTAAATATTTCCCCATAAAATAGTTTTGGAAAATAATTATTTTGTTGATTTTTTTTTTTAGACCAATTCTTGCTCTGTCACCCAGGATTGAGTGCAGTGGCATGACCTCGGCTCACTGAAACCTCCGACTCCCTAGTTCAAGCGATTCTCCTGCCTCAGCCTTCCGAGTAGCTGGGATTACACGCATGTGCCACCACGCCCAGCTAATTTTTGTATTTTTTTAGTAGAGATGGGGTTTCACCATGTTATCCAGGCTGGTCTCAACTGGTGAGTTCAAGCAATCCACCCACTTCAGGCACTCAAAGTGCTGGAACAAGCATGAGCCACTCCTCCTCATACATAACTTAATTCATTAGTCATAGAATAAATAACTTGCAGTTCCACTTTTCTTTCTTCTTGTTTTAGGGTTTTTGTACCTGCTACTCAGAACCCGGAACACATTGCCTACCTTCTGTTTTGGCCTAGTTAGATCTCAGTTGTCCTTTAGGACTCAGTTTAAATGTCCCTTCCCATCCTTGGACTGTGAGATGAAGCTTCTGGAAGCTTCCTCTGATTTCAGCTCGTATTTTTTGCTGTCTTTAGCATACATCTCATTGTACCATAATTGCCCCCCTTCCTGATTAGGCTATGAGCTCCTGTGTCCAAAGATTGGGTAAGTTGTTTAGTGCCTAGGGTAGTGCCTCTCATAAAATCAATGTTCCACAGAATCAC